GTACGGGCCGTTCTGGGGCAGTCCGAAAATCTATAAATAGGGGTTAGGGGCCTTCAGGAAAATGTGAGTTTTTAGAGAGAAGTTTTAGAGAGAAGGTCTCTAGGTCAGTGAGCTCCTTTCTCTCCCAAATTTCTCTGTTTGACTCCTTTTCTCCTCTAGACCACTAATGCCTTATGGCTTTTCTTGAAATTCAGATTAAAAAGCTTGCTTTGGGAGGATTGAAGTTCTAGGTTGAGCTTTGGAAGGGAATTCTATTTCGTCTCAGTTGTTGGCTATTTTGAGCCAATCTTTAGGTAAGGGAAGCTAGAATGTTTGTTGTTTAGTATGCAAAAAATATATATATATATATATATATATATAAATAAATAAATACTCATAAAAAGGTAGTTATTAAAAAATAAAATGATTAATGTAAGAATAAAAACTAAAAGTAGGCATTGAAAGTAATATCACCTTTATATATTAATATAGATTCATTAATTTCAAGTTTTTAAATTTGATTAAAAAAATTTGTATAAATTTTTAAAATAAAAAGGATATAATGATTCATAAAAGTAGAGACCAAGTAGTTATTGAAAAGAATATCCTTTTTATATATTAGTATAAGTATATAATCCTTAAAAAAGCAACTAATTTATGTGAAGCTATTTAAATTAGTATTTTATTTAATAATATTTTAAATCTTTTTAGCTAATGATTATTTTAAAAAATTGAAATAAATACATGAAAAACTTAAAATGTAATTATTATTATTTTTTATAAATAAGTGATTTTTATGAAATTTTTTTAAGAAAATACAAATAATTCTTCAAGTCGTGAGTTTTAATTTATAATATAATTAAAATAACTATTTACACAAATTTTAAATATATTTTATAGATTCAAATGTAATATATATTTATATAAAATTTATTATAAATTTGTTATATAAAAATTTTAGTTTGTAAAATACAGAAACTAAAATACTAATTCATCTAATTTTATTTTCAAATCTGATAAATTATCTAATTATCACTTTGTGAATTAAAATCAGCTAAAATTATTTTTTTTTTACCAAATTTGTTACTGTAAAAGTTATTAAAAATTTAAAATTCTATTTATTTTGAAAATTATTTTAAACAATCAACGAAACAAATAATTATTTCATTAAAGGAATCAAACAAAAAACTATTTCATTTACTTTTAAAAAATATTTTTATAATGAAATGAAAATAATGGTTTTTTTTAAGGGGGAAATAATGGTTTTAAATAAGCATAATTTGTTTTTTTTTTAAAAATTTATATATAAATTCGGCCAAAAGTCAACATTGAGTAACTAGAATAGCGATCATTATTAACAAGGGACAAAGCACAATTAAGGCCTAACCCGCCGATTAACATCGTATTACCTAATTTGGTGAGTGTCAGAGAAGGCCCACTACGCTCAGGCCCATGTCAGGTGTTATAAATAGGTCACACGTAGCGAGGTATGTCACTGTTAAATTATTATCCTAGATATTCGTGCTTGTCCTGACTTGAGCGTCAGAGTACCTTTTGCAGGTACCTCCCCCCTCTGAAGCATCCATCTGGAGTTCTCGTTCGGCTCTATTCCCACTTGAAGATTACGAGTGTACCCTTTGACTGGTACATCGTGCATAACTCCTCCATGGTATTAATGAGACAACTCTTAACTTGCTCATTGAACCAAAGTGATTAACGTTCTGTCTAATCATTTGTCAAACTTGACCACTAAATATAACTCAAGGAAGACAAATCATTCAGTCTTAATAGTCTTATTATATTATTGAGACAATAATATGATTTTGTATAATTAAAAATATATGCTTTTACTCACGAGTTGATGTTTTTCATTGATAACTAGTATTTTAATCATTGTATAATACAAGAAAAATACTTTTTTTTGTTGAATTAAAATTTAATTAAATGTTCTATATCCATTAAATTTTGTTTTAAATTTATAATGATATTTGAATTTATGATACAATATTATCTTTAAATCAAGATAAATAAATATTTAAGAAAATTACGTATATAAATATAACCAAAAAGTAAAAAACGTTTTTACTGAAGATATATAGTTGAAAGTGATATATTTTTGGTTTGATATGGGAAAATGTACGTAATGTATCTCTTAACGAGAGAAGTAAGAAAGTTACAAGAGTGTATGTGAGAGATAAAGAGTAGAGAAAGTGCAAAATGACCTAATTATTAGTTTTTTTTAGAGATTTTAAAAAAAGAAACTAATTAATATTTGTTTACAATCATAACAATTATTATTATTATATATTAGCAGGAAAAAGGTACTCCATGCCTGTATTATATTAAAATATATATATATATATATATATATATAAATAAATAAATACTCATAAAAAGGTAGTTATTAAAAAATAAAATGATTAATGTAAGAATAAAAACTAAAAGTAGGCATTGAAAGTAATATCACCTTTATATATTAATATAGATTCATTAATTTCAAGTTTTTAAATTTGATTAAAAAAATTTGTATAAATTTTTAAAATAAAAAGGATATAATGATTCATAAAAGTAGAGACCAAGTAGTTATTGAAAAGAATATCCTTTTTATATATTAGTATAAGTATATAATCCTTAAAAAAGCAACTAATTTATGTGAAGCTATTTAAATTAGTATTTTATTTAATAATATTTTAAATCTTTTTAGCTAATGATTATTTTAAAAAATTGAAATAAATACATGAAAAACTTAAAATGTAATTATTATTATTTTTTATAAATAAGTGATTTTTATGAAATTTTTTTAAGAAAATACAAATAATTCTTCAAGTCGTGAGTTTTAATTTATAATATAATTAAAATAACTATTTACACAAATTTTAAATATATTTTATAGATTCAAATGTAATATATATTTATATAAAATTTATTATAAATTTGTTATATAAAAATTTTAGTTTGTAAAATACAGAAACTAAAATACTAATTCATCTAATTTTATTTTCAAATCTGATAAATTATCTAATTATCACTTTGTGAATTAAAATCAGCTAAAATTATTTTTTTTTTACCAAATTTGTTACTGTAAAAGTTATTAAAAATTTAAAATTCTATTTATTTTGAAAATTATTTTAAACAATCAACGAAACAAATAATTATTTCATTAAAGGAATCAAACAAAAAACTATTTCATTTACTTTTAAAAAATATTTTTATAATGAAATGAAAATAATGGTTTTTTTTAAGGGGGAAATAATGGTTTTAAATAAGCATAATTTGTTTTTTTTTTAAAAATTTATATATAAATAAGGCTAAAACCCTATTTTAGTCCCTTATATTAATTGTTTGTTTCAATTTAGTCTCACTTCTATTTTTAGTTTCAATTTGGTCCCAAACTAATTAATTGGTTTCAATTTAGTCCCAAATTAATTAATTGGTTTCAATGTGGGACTTCCGTCCAAATTATTTAAACGGAATTAACTTTTGGCCACGTGAATGCCACGTAGATGCATACGTGGATGCCACGTGGATGACAATTTTTGGCTAAAAACCTATTTTGGTCCCTTATAATAATCGTTTATTTCAATTTAGTCCTAATTTTATTTTTGGTTTCAATTTGGTCCCAAATTAATTAATTGGTTTCAATTTGGTCCCAAATATATTAATTGGTTTCAATTTGGGACTTCTGTCCAAATTATTTAAATGGACTTAACTTTTGGCCACGTGGATGCAGTTTTGACCCCTCAAGTATTACAATTGTGCAGTTTTGATCCCCAAAATTTTAATTGGGTAATTTTAGTCCTTAAAGAATTTCAATTGCGCGATTTTGGTCTTTCAATTTTTAATTGAACAATTTTAGTCCCTCAAATATCATAATAGTACGATTTTAGTTTCTCCCATTAAAAATTAATAATTTTAATATATATAAAATATAATTACATATAAATAATCAAAATAAATATTCTAATAGATAAACAATCAAAATAAATCTAAAAAAATAAGATAAAACATAAAAATATTTTTTTTTATTTTTTTAATAAAATTAATTATTAAAAAAGTTAATAATGTTTTGCACAGATAATATAATAATAAAAAAAACTTCTTTTTATATTTGAATTTTCCAAAATAAAACCTGGTTAATTATTTGATCGAATACAATATAACCAAATCTAGTTTAATTTTAGATATGTGAATGTTGTAACATAGTTAAAAAAAAAAAAAAAAAAAAAAAAAAAAGTTTATT